CTTGTATTTAGGGGAAAATGTGAAACTCTGAAAATTAAAAGAAGAAAAAAAAGTCTTAACTGGTTTATTCATATTAGCTAAATTCATTTACTATGAACTCTTGGTCTTGAATTCTTTTGGGGACAACTTAACGTGAAACTCCTTTATGTTGAAGACTTTTTGGAACTTGAGTCATCTTGGATGATGACTTTGTAGCATTTACATTTCTTTGACTTTTATTTCTTGGGAAATACTGGCAATACCCATGAACACGTCATTGTTTAAGGCCCTACCCAACTCCCCACATTCACATTGTTAGGTTGCTTCAGTTTCTCTGTCTGAAACAGAATTTTTTTTGAGATAGGGTCTCACTATGTCATCCAGGCTGAAGTGCAGTGGCATGACACCAATGACTTCTTGGACTCATGTGATTCTCCCATCTTAGGCTCCCAAGCAGCTGGAACTACAGGTGCACACCACTACACCTAATTTTTCTTTTTTTTTTTTTCTTCTGTAGAGATGAGGTCTCACTATCTTGCCCAGACTGGTCTCAAACTCCCAGGCTCAAGCAATCTTCCCGCCTCAACCTCCCAGAGTGCTAGGATTACAGGTGTGAGCTAAGGCACCCAGCTCAGAATTATTTTTAACTGAAAACAGGTGCCTTCTACTCACAGGTCATTCTTTAAACTTGTGAATTGGAAGAAAAGAGTAACCAGAAGGTGCAGAAGAGGACGGTAACAAGGAAGCCCCAGTTAATCTTCTTTTCCTCTTGATTTTGAGGTTGTTGAGGTTTTGCTTTTGTTTGATGGTGTTTTGTTTTGGTTTTCAGTTTTCATTCTGTGTCCTGGGTTGTTAAATGCATGTCTGTGATAGTATCTGTACATTATAAACCTTTCCTGCTCTGCTAAAAATTGACTACTTTGTTTCTAGTAAACATAGTCCTTGAAAAATATAGCCATATTTATTTGCAAAGTGTTTTGTCCTGCTTCCTCCTTTTATAAACATCGTGTGCACTTTGATAAGCCTTATTTGGGATGGGAAAAAATATGTTATGTATCCTAAGTGTGAATGTGCTGTTCTGTAGGCAGTTATCTCAGGAGAGCTTTGGGGATAATCTTGCTGTGTGAACTTTGAATTAATATAGATTTTACTACCCTAGAAACAAGCTTGATCAAAGACAGTGCTTTGCTTTTATAGATGATAACTGTGTCTACTGTTTTTTCAAGGGAGAGGTGTCAAGCTAAATTTTAGGAAAGATTATAAAGTATTACAAGGAGGATTACAAAGGAGTGGTTGACAGGCAGATGTCCACCACTGAATAAAAGAAATTCCAAGAAATCTTGAGCAAAAAGGCCTGTTCTAAAATTCCTTGTCTACTTGAAGGATTTTTCTCTTCTCTTAGCTCTCTTGACTCCCTTCTTTTTCATTTATTATTAAATACGGTAATTATTCCATTTTCCTAAGGTAATTATTTCCATTTTTTCTAGTGTATACTATAATTTTTTGCATATTAGGTTGAATGTGGTGAATCACACCTTTAATCCTAGCACTTTGGTAGGCTGAGGCAGGAGGAATGGATTGCTTGAGGCCAGGGTTTCAAGACCAGCCTGGGCAACAGAGTGAGACCTCATCTCAACAAATAATAAAGATAAAAATGATTAGCTGGGCGTGGCGACACATATCTGTAGTCCCAGCTACTCTGGAGGCTTAGGGAGGAAGATCACTTGAGCCCAGGAGTTGGATGCTGTGGTGAGCTGTGATTGCATCATTGCATCCCAGCCTGGTTGACAGCGAGGCCCTGTCTGTAAAAAATAAATACAAATAAAAAAGGATATATTACATATTCATCCACTTATGTAACAATTATTTATTGAGCTCTCTCACATTCAGCTTTAAGGGTACAGATGCAGAATTCGGGGTTGTATTTAACCAGGTATGGGATTTGCCAGGCAGGCCCAGCTAGAAGTGATTATAACCAGGTGCCAAAAAATCCAAGCTGGGTAATCCAGTATGCATGAATGAGCGAATGGGAGGAATTTAAGGACAGCGGAAAAGGTTGGGAGAGTCTGTGGGTTGTAGGAACTGGTAGGGTAAAAAACTATTGGGGCCGGGCATGGTGGCTCATGCCTGTAATCCCAGCACTTCGAGAGGCTGAGGCAGGAGAACTGCTTGAGTCCAGGAGTTTGAGACCTGCCTGGGCAACATAGTAAGACCCTGTCTCTAATTTTTTTAAATAAAAAATTAAAATAAAGCCGGGCTTGGTGGCTCAGCCTGTAATCCCGCGCCTTTGGGAGGCCAAGGTGAGTGGATTGCCTGAGCCCACGGGTTCGAGACCCGCCTGGGCAAGCGAGACCTCATCTCTATGATAAATCCAAAAATTAGCCGGGCGTGGTAGTGCGCGCCTGTAGTTCCAGCTACTTGGAAAGCTGAGGTGGAAGGATCGCCGGAGCCCAGCAAGTTGAGGCTGCGGTGGCCGGGAGCAACCACTGCACTCCAGTCTGGGCGACAGAGTGAAACTCCAACTCAAAAAAAAAAAAAATTTAAAATTAAAATAATAATAGTCGTGTTGAAGATTAGAGGAGGTGATTTGGAGAGACACCACTTGCTGGTTAGAGAGGGATGTGTTGAGACTGGGTTTACAGAGAGATTGTAATTGTGATGGTGATGACAAGGTCTAAGATATGACTGTGGATGGGTGGCCGAGAACAAAATCATTGGAGAAGATGTCACAGAACTGAGGGTACAGGATAATGAAAAGGTCCTCTACTTGGAAACTCAAGAAAGAAGTAGTGATGTAGTGGTGGGGATTTGATGTAAATGACCCAAAGCATTAGTGTGTATGTGTATGGGTATTTTGGAGGGCAGCACCCCTTGTAGTACAGGCTTCCCCACTAGGTAAGTGTTCTAGGAACTCATCGGCATCAGTGTACCTGTTGGCATTGTTGTGAGTGACTGAGTTCGGCTTCCTTGAATTTTTTTTTTTTTTTTTGAGATTCTTTCAATGCATTTTCCCATTTCATGATGGGTGATTTACAAGCACACCTGCCCACACTGCGCTGAGGGTTCGGCAGTTTTTGACCCCAAAATGGCATGAACCTGTGCCTCACCCTCTTACTTACCCCATCTCACCCTGAATGGCTGTTTTTTGTTTTTCTGGATGAAAAAAGTCCTCAAAGGGAAACATGTTGCCTATGTGGAAGAGGTGAAACAAAAAACAACAAGAAACACTCAAAGGCATCAAAATTGATGAATCCAAAAACTGTTTTGAACAGTGGAAAAAGCATCTCAATAGGTGTACAGCATCAGATGGAGAGTACTTTGAAGGTGACTGAAGTTGAAACATATCAGAGTCAATATACAATTTTTTATAAATAAATTCTGGATTTGGGGGGGCCCATATATATATGAAATCGCATTGGCAGGGATAGTGAGCTCACAACTAAACTCATAAGAGAGGTTCAGGAGAGATCCAGCGGTCTGTAGATGACTCTGGTTATGAGATAGAGACTGATGGCGTGAGCTGCAAAACAGGAGACTGCTTGGGAGGTGGAAGTGATTGTTATCCAGAAGCGGGAATGAAAAGCCAGCAGGTAGAGGGACTTGGGATGCAGTGTCCTTTAGGGAAAGCCAAGTTTCTGTTAAGACAAGGAAGTGAAGAGAGAGTTCAGAGAAGAGGCTGAGCATTTAGGAGATTTTGCTGGATTCCCTAAATGAAGTGCCTTCCCAGAGGGCACAGTGGAAAAGGGCCAGTGAGGAGCTGAAGGAGGCTGGGCTGGGTTGGGCATGTTCACAGTGCCGTGGGGAGGGGAGTCCAGGGGAAGGAAGGACACAGAGGTCCTGGCAGAAACAGGGATAGAGAGCATGGTGGGGTTAGTCCTAGTGGCTCTGAAACAGGACTTAAGTGTGGGAAGGAAGGATGGGTTGGGCATCTTGACAGAAGCAAGCAGACCTCTGGGGCTCTTCTTCCCTGCCATGCGAGACCCTTCAGAGGTGGGGGGTTGGGGAGGTGAGGCCTCATTACCCATGGGTAGGTTTGGGGCTCCCTCTTCATCCTGTGGATTGAGGCGAGGAAGCTGGGGATGGGTACCTGCTGGGACGTTAGCAGGGTGTATGCATGTGTCAGTTGGTATAACAGGCCTACTGGTGCAGTGCTCATGCCTGTAATTCCAGCACTTTGGGAGGCTGAGGCAAGAGGATTTCTTGAGCCTAGGAGTTTGAGGCCCGACTGGGCAACATAGCAAGACCTTGTCTCTACAAAAAAAAAAAAAGAAAGAAAGAAAAAATTAGCTGGGCGTGGTGACATGCACCTGTAGTCCCAGAAGGTCAAAACTGCAGTGAACTGTGATCGTGCCACTGCATTCCAGACTGGGTGACAGTGTGAGACTCAGACTCAAAAAACAAAAACAAAATTGTTATAACAATTCTAGGATGATGTCAAATTAGACCTAGAGGGTTTTATACATATATATATGTATATGTATTGCTATTATACTTGAGTTGCAATTTAGTATGTTACATTTATAAAGATAGTAGTTAGGAGCTGGGTGCAGTGGCTCATGCCTGTAATCTCAGCATTTTGGGAGGCCAAGGCAGGAGGATCGCTTGAGACCAGGATTTCAGGATCAGCCTAGGCAACACAATGAGCTCTCATCTCTACAGAAAATAGAAAAATTAGCCAGGTGTGGTAGTGTGTGCCTGTGGTCCCAGCTACTTGAGAGGCTGAGGCAGGAGGATTGCTTGAGTCCAGAAGTTTGAGGCTACAGTAAGCTGTGAACATGGGGCCTGGACAACAGACTGAAATCCTGTCTCAAAAAAAAAAAAAAAGGAATTAGATTTAATTGGGGTGGGGGTTTACATTGATTCATAATCAGTATGTATAATTCAGACTCCATATATTAAAATAAGTCATTCTCTTTCTCTCCTTCCTGTCTGCCACCTTCTGCCAAAATGTGACTTGAAAACTGACAGTTACAGTCTTACCCACTGGATAACTGACATGTTTTTCTTCCTTTTCTTTATAGTGAAGAAAGTTACAACGTCAATGATTACTCTTTAAGAGATCAACTATTGGTGGAATCTTGCGACAATGAAGAGCTTAATTCTTCTCCAGGGAAGAACAGTTCCACAATGCTTTACTCAAGACAGAGCTCTGCCAGTCACCTCTTCACTCTGACGGTCCTTAGCAACCACGCGAATGAGAAGGTGGAGATGCTACTGGGTGCTGAAACACAGTAAGTTTGCCTGGGAAAAGGTTCAGAATATATGATATCTCTCTCCCCTACCTCACTGCCCTTGGTCTACAGACTCCCTAGCAACAATAGCTATTCTTGGGTTTGGCTGAGCACCTACTATGTGCCAGGCACTACGACTAGATGCTCCCTACAGCTGTTGTTCTTTCCATTGTGATCCTTTCAATATCTCGTGAGATGGATGTTATATTATTTTTGTCCCTGTAAGTCCTGATAGATGCATTATGCTTTAAGTGATATGCTTTTTATCTTCATTTTAAGAATCATTTTATCTTTTTTCATTGATAAAAATACAGCACACCAGCCCTAGGGAATATGACTCAACTGGTAGTTTGAGTGTAGACCATAATTTTTTTAGATAATGGAATTGAAGTCACTAGTCAATCACTTGACTTCAACCGGAGAACAGAAAGCCCAGTGATTTCTGTCAAGAGTTACTCAGTTTAGGGAAATGTATTGATGAATTGTCTTTCCAATCTGGAGTTTATGCAGAGGCAAAGCAGGTATCTTGTTTTGGCCTGTGGTTTCACCAGCATTAGTGTGCAGTCAATCCTTATACTGGATGAGAGGACGGGCTAAATTTTCAAGTCCATCCTAGTGATTTTTTTGGTATAGTTAGCAATAGTTGACCAGTTTATTTATTTGAAAACTGGAAACCAGCTGGGTGCTGTGGCTCATGCCTGTAATCCTAGTGCTTTCAGAGGCTGAGATGGGAAGATCACTTGAGGACAGGTGTTCAAGACCAGCCTGGGTAACATAGTGAGACCCTGTGTCTACAAAGCGTGGAGACATTAGCTGGGCCTAGTGGCTTGGGAAGCTGAGGCAGGAGGGTTGCTGGAGCCCAGGAATGCGAGGTCACAGTGAGTTATGATGGTGCCACCACACTCCGACCTGGGTGATGGAGTGAGACTCCATCCTAAGGAAAGAAAGAAAACTGGAAGCTTTCTCTTACAGCAATTGTCAGGGACAGATGTTATGTTGGGCCAGTGGGGAGCAGTGGCGAGAAAGGAGAAGTTCCCCAATTCTTTGCCCTCTCAGTTCCTTCCTGTCTTCCCCTACCCACATCCACCAAGGTTCCCACATGGTGTGGTTAGAGTAGATCAACAGCTGGTGACTAACAACCCTAGGACAGTAGCAAGATCTTAGAGAAAGTGATGCCAAAGAGATATCTTCTCTTTTCAAGAGTGATCGTAACAGTGTTCTTGATCATTAAAGAAAATGTTAAAAAATAATAATGATTCAGTGATCCTTGAGAAAGTATGGCAAAGATGATTTTATTCAGGACCATCAAAACAGGTATAGGAACCTTGCAACAGGGTCTTGCAGTAGGAGAGATTAGACTCAATTCCTAATACAGCATGGGCAAAGGGTAACTTACAGCCAATCAGCAGTGTCAGGGGTCAGTGGGTAGAAAAGAAACATCAGGGGTTAGGATGACTCTGGGTAAACTGACCTAACAGGGTGCTACCTGAAGACAGGCTCAGATGCTCAGACATCAGCTGGGGGATGGTGGAGGATGAGGGCTGTGATCAGATTTCAAGGGAGATCAGATATGGAGGGTGGGGTTGGGTGTGGTGGCTCACACCTGTGATCCCAGCACTTTGGAGGCTGATTTGGGAGGATTGCTTAAGCCTAGGAGTTTGAAACCAGCCTGGAACTACAAAAAACTCGTTTCTACAAAAAAAAAAGTCAAAAAATTAGCTGGACTTGATAGTGTGCACTCCTAGTCCCAGCTACTCAGGAGGCTGAGGTAGAAGGATCACCTGAACCCAGGAAATCAAGGCTATGGTGAGCTGTGATCGTGCCACTGTACACCAGCCCAGGTGGCAGAGTGAAACTCCGATTCAAAAAAAAAAGAAGGAAAGAAAAGATGGTAAAAAGGTTAGGGGTGAGGGGTTCTTACTAAACTTACCTAATAGGGCTCTCTGCTAAAACTAGGTTTTGCAAAGCAGGGCACAGATGGACCTAGATTCAGAAGCCTGACTAAAGTTTAGCCAAGCAGAGCATCTTTGTCAAGAGACATAAGAAAAATGTGAAAATACAAGGCATCCACATAGTGTTGAATGATCATTTCATATCTTGTATGTTCCTAGAAGTGAAGCTTCAAAGACTGGAGTAAAACCAAGAAGGATAGGTTGATGTAAAGCTATAGGATATTCCAAACGAATTTGAACTTGAGAATTAACCAAAGGAAACTTCATCCTCATGTGTTTGTTTACAAAACAAATGCCATTATCTGAGGTCCCAGAGTTCTTCCACTGCCTACTGAGAAGCCCTGACAGCTATCCAAGCAAGCACCTCTGTGTCTGTGGCTGTGGGAGGACAGCGTGGGTGGGTGTGTGCTTGCTGGTCTGGGACGTAACCCAAGAGACACACCATGGCCAAGGGAAGGCAGCACTTGAACTCCAAAAGGGATTTAAACCCCTTGGTCAGTGAAGATAAACCTAGACTTCCTTTGTGTGGAGAGAGTTTCTTTTTTTTTGTTGGGATCTCATTCTGTCACCAGGCTGGAGTGCAGTGGCACAGTCACATCTCACCACAGCCTCGACCTCCCAGGCTCAGGCGGTCCTTCCCTCTCAGCCTCCCTGGTAGCTGGGACTATAAGCTTGTTGGTACAATGATTATTACTATTATTATTTTAGAGGCAAAGTCTCATTATGTTGCCTAGGCTGGTCTTGAACTTCTACACTCAAGCAATCCTCCCATCTCAGCCTCCCAGAGCGCTGGGATTACAGGCATGAACCACTGCACCTAGCCCAGAAATTTCTTTTGAAAACAGAATTTAATGTGTCTGAACTTTGGATTTTATATGACTTTAAGGATGAGAAAAACTGAACTACTTGGGAGATGAGTACTTTTCTGGGCATTTTAGAGAATTCTCAGAAACTAGAAGACCGCCCCTTACTCATCTAGTTAGGAATGGCGACAGTGTTGGTTTTGCCTTGTGTTTCCTTTTCTCTCTGTTTGTAAGGATTGTTTGTTTTTTATTCAGGCCTTGCCAGCATCTCAGCAGAGTTTTCCCTGACTGTCTCATTCATGATTTATGTAATCTCCCCACTTGGTTCTTAGGTGATTCCAAGACAGCAGGAAGCGAACCGACATGTCCAGCTCTTTTCACGCCAAGGCCAGATCCTTTCCCAGGACATTCTGTAGCAGTTGTTCTACTCTCTTTCCTTTCATTCTGCCATGGACTGAATGGTTGTTCATTTCCTCAGTCAGACATGTTCTCAGAATATTTCGTTATGTCACTAGTAAACCCATGGGTATGACTCATATTTGTAGCTCTTTAATTAATATCAAGAGAACATTCCAGAGGGGGCAGAGGGACAGAGGTCACCTTGGGTACAGAAGGAGTGACTCTCTTTTTCCTCACCCCTCCTCACCCCCACTCTTAATTACAGTTGAGAAGTAAATAAATGGACAAATGCTTACAAGACGTAAAATAGTATTGGCGTTGAAAGAAAATTGATTGCAGCTACAGATGTATTTTCCTTTTAAAAAATTGGCTGTTTCAAAATCTAGCAAATTTGTTACATGCCATGTTTGGAAACATGCAGGTCAGCTGTGGGCTACCTGTTTTTGAGCAGTCAGTTTTGATCTGTGTAGAATGTTGTTTGCTTCTAAGATTTGTGAAATATATTGAATGTATGCTTTGGGGGATTTTTTTCTCTTTTTGTTTTCTTTTTTTTTTTTTTGAGCTGGGGTGTCTGTCATCCAGGCTGGAGTGCAGTGGCATGATCACAACTCACTGCAGCCTCAACCTTCTAGGTTCAGGTGATCCTCCTCCTCATACTCCCAAGTAGCTAGGACTAGAGGCACATGCCATCATGCCTGGCTAATTTTTTAATTTTTTTGTATAAACAAGGTCTTGCTATGTTGTCTAGGCTAGGCTCAAGCAATCCTCCCATCTTGGCCTCCCAAAGTACTGGGATTATAGGTGCAAGCCACCATGCCCAGCCATATTTTTCTCTTTTATGTCTTATCTGTTGATGTGGCCCATTGGCAATCTAGTTTAGAGAATGAGGTTTTTATTACCATGCTGGTCTCAAGTAGTCACAGAACTTCAGGCCAGTCAAGTAGAGCCTTTAGCTACTTATTCCTTGACCTAGAAAATAATGAATTTCATACTTTAAATATTATCCTTCTTAGAAAAACTGATATCAACAGAGGCCACCTAGGGATACAAAAAAATGTAAAACCGGTAGTAGGAAGGGTGTAGTTATTTGGCACAAGGACAATTCAACTTCATAAGGCGATGAAATTGTGAAATAGATCAATGACTTTGATGACATCAGGAATACAGAAATGCTCACCAAAGGGACATGGGGCAAACACCCAGTGAGCATCCAAGGTATGCCAGGCACCGAGCCAGCTATAGAACATGAAGAAGGGACCCATGGTTGTTTCTAGAGAAGGCCAGAACATCAGAGTTGAAGGAAGCTTAAAAGTGAGACGATCAGACATCTCGGCTTCCCTTGAAACAATAGTTCAAGCTTACCTCTCTGTTATCTTGGTGAAATTATGAATAATATTCTCTTTGACTCTCAAAAGTTTCTTGGGTTTGTTGTTGTTGTTGTTGTTTGAGTTCGAGTGTCGCCCAGGCTGGAGTGCAGTGCCACGCTCACAGCCACCACAGCCTCGACTTGCTGGGTTCAGGTGATCCTTCCGCCTCAGCTTTCCAAGTAGCTGGAACTATAGGTGCGTGCTACCATGCTCAGCTTATTTTTTGATTTATTGTAGAGACAAGGTCTCACCAAGTTGCCCAGGCCGGTCTCGAACCCCTTTGCTTTAGACAGTCCTCTCTCCTCGGCCTCCCAAAGTGCTGGGATTACAGGCTTGAGCCACCACTCCTGGCAAAAGTTTCTTGTTTAGACAATAAATATGAGGGGGAACCCCCAAACCCCAGAATTATCTTTTGGAGGGCAGGCCCCTTGTAGATTCCCCCACTAGGTAAGTGCTCTAGGCATCAGTGTACCAGCTAG